TCTATGCTACTTGTTACAAAATAATTCTTTTGTATTCTGTCATACAATTTGCCTAGCAGTACGATATTATATATCAAATTCGCAAACTTAGATAGAAGTGTTGCTAGCATCGAACAAAAAATTAGAGGAAATTTTGACTTTAAGTAGCAGAGGGCTCGCCTTTCTTTAAGGACTTTTTAGGTTCCCATTCCCGATTTTATTTAGATTTATTTTAACATCTTATTAGTTGGTCAAGCCTTGTTGATGGACGCTCTAATTATACCCAACGAAAAATAATATCTGAATCCGTTGCCCATGTCACAAATGGGGTAGCCATTTTATTGGCAGATGTGATTCGCTTTTGTACTCTACGTTGCTTAGCGCCGTGAGGTTATGAATACCAGAACTTGCATCCAAAAGGTTACTATTTGTATCAGTTTACAATAAAGAGCCTTGGTTTGCGCAACTGCTGAATTACGCAAGCTAGTCCATGGTGCTCGTATGACAAAAACTATGTTTACTTCACCAATTGTGAACTAAGCACTCGTTTATGCCACAAAGAATTTGCTGCTGATCATACCTTAACTTCTAGGAACGTCGTACCTTAAGTACCCGACTTATTTTAATGTAAATTGTGCAATCTAGATGCTTTATTAAATCTAATTTTTCCAGCAATAGAACTATATTTGTTTTATAATGCTATATGCTAATGAGAGACGTACTTCAAAGGATTAATTTAAAACGTGCTTTTCCATGGACTAACTAAAGAATATTGTTTTGCAAAACTGGTGCGCTGCATAAATCGTGCGCAATCTGATCTCCCCAAATTTAAATCAGTACTTTGTGGAAGATCCCAAATGATAACAGAAAGTGCCTTTTGCAATGCTAATTTTTCGATCAGTTTACTCTGTGCAAAGGCGGAAAACTATCAGCTTACCCCTTTCCGAAATTCGCCGATCCGGGTACTGAAATGCGATGAAACAAAATGACGTTAGGCAACATCTCCAAGAATATGGCAAGGGTACACAAAGTAAAGTTTGATTAGTTAAGAAAAAAATACATAACTGACTACTCCAAAGTGTCAAATTGTGTGTTTAAACAGTTTTGACGGAAGACGGATTTACTTAAATCCAGCGAATTGAATTGTCTCTAAAATGCAAACCATTATCCAACACCCGCATATACCCCCTTGTTGCATTAAATTCACTTGTCCGATAGTAAAATAATTTCGCCAACTGAATAGCGATGAAAGGTGACGAGGGGTCCTTCGGAAATAAATACTACATCTTTGAGGGCAGCCGTTTAATATTTCAGAGGTGACATCAGTGTTATTGTAATAGACGCATAAAACATCCTAAAGCCGACTCAGAATATCAGACACCATAAATAAAAAATTTCAATTACAGGTCTGTGCCATAATGCATGTTGAATCTTTTTTACTTACTTACCTAGCGTTACTAAACGGAGCCCTCCAGGTCAAACTTTACAATTGTCACCATGTTGCACATCACTAATTTAATAATCTCCATAATGCCCCTGCTAATGGCGATAGCATGATGTCGAGTTTCGGATTTCGCTTTGTGCTAAATTAATGGTGGACAATATCAAAATGTCCAGTGGCTAACAAAGCATTAAATCTTGCATGAATTTATAGGGATGAGCTTAAGTAGCAGTTAGGATTAGATCTTTGGCTTCCGCACTTCGAAGTCTTCCGGCAATGGGAACACACTTGCGCGCATGACAGAATTATGCTTTTCTCGTGCTTGTGATGATGAGATTTTGGTTTGCTCGACTGTTTCCTCACGCGGGTTTGGGCAGGGAAATGTAAATTGATCACACGTCTATGCCACATACGGTTATTTCTAATAAATAATACCCAATTTGATACATGGGTGCCACTAGCAAAAATTTTTTTAAAGTGATAATGATTCCATTTTGCCTTGAGCAAAATAAATTTGTCAGCTGAACAATGCTACTTATTGACCTTATTTTAAAGGGTCATGAAGCTAGTGGCCATTAAATTGACTACTCCATTACACCACCTATGTGGAAAATGCAGTTATAACTTCACTTACCTTATCCCTGTGAGAATGAAGAGAAAAGTGGTCACACACCACATATGAACCCAAATCCGAATTCGTTAAAATATAGAAGCTCCTTACTTTGTGGCGCCACATTACATAAACGAGTGTTTAGTTTGCACTTCGTAATCAGGATACAGTTCCGTCTCATGCTTGTCATAGACACACATGCGCGTAAACCAAAGCTGCTATTTCGCTTCATATTTCGAATTTCATCCACACACTAATGCCTTGTTAGTCAATAGGCAGACTGGTAATTTTTGATAGTGTCAACTTGTTATTATGCTGAAGATAATTTGATGCAAACGAAGAACAAAACAGAGCGTAGGCTGCATTGATGCCCTCACAAATATCAAAAGCAATTCGTATCTGACGAAATGACTAATGAGTGTCACCCAAATTAGCGTAGTGTTTGACTCAAAAGGCAGCAAGTGCATGGGTTTACACCCCATTAGAGCTATTGCAAGATTCCTGACCTTTTATTTGAAATTCTGTATAAACGGTTTGTCATAAAAAACAAGCAATGGTTTGCATACTAAGGTCCCTTTGTAGCCACTGCCAGTGTTGCCTTATAAATTCAACCAACGTTTTTTAAATTCGACATGCTCAGAGCTGCGTTATATGCTAAGGCGCACATTGTGCGCAAATTCGTGAAAGCCTAATAATTTCCCACTTTGCAGAATGATCAGAAGTCTTTCGGCTAAATTCCGTAAATTACTAT